GCTGACACATGGCAATACAAACCCTGCTAGGGGTGGGGTTTCTGAACCCCACTCCCATTTCCATGCTGGAATCTGGTCAGACTTGGGCTTGCGCAGTGCAGGCACACCACCTTGAAGATTTCTGATTTTATTTTAGGAATTTTTATTTATTTTTTTAACCAAACTCTTTGTCCAGATTCATAGCTCATTTTTAATTGGGTTGTTTTCTGAACTGTTTTTATTTTAAGTTCTTCGTATATCCTTGTTAAAATTCTTATTAGATGTGTAGCTTACAAATTTTCTTTACCTCACCATGATTTCTCTTTTCACTCTACTGATTATTATATTATTATTTGCTATAGGAAAGATTTTTAGTTTTATAAGATCCTATTTTCAGTTTTTGGCCTAAATCGAAAGTGGTTAGCCTGGACACGCAGACATATAAGCAATGTTAAATGGACTCTGTGATACATGTCTGTGTACATATGCATTTGAACCTTATGCACATGTGTGTATATATTTAATAATTATGATTAAAGCCGGGCAGTGGTGGCACACGCCTTTAATCCCAGCACCCGGGAGGCAGAGGCAGGCGGATCTCTGTGAGTTCGAGACCAGCCTGATCTACAAGAGCTAGTTCCAGGACAGGCTCCAAAACCACAGAGAAACCCTGTCTCAAAAAAAAATAATAATAATTATGATTAAAGAAGAGATAGTCTATTGGGGACGGGAACATGGAAGGAGTTGGGAGGGTGCACGAGGACAGAAGTGGAGTAGATGCAGTGTTCTTCATGCATGTGGTTCTTAGGAAAAGTTTTAAAATGGCAGACATTGTTGACTCCCCATGGGAGACCTCACTTCTCTGAGGAGTGGATGGGAATGGGGTAAGGGGAAGGTGTGGGGAGCAGAAGGACGGGAGGGAGAGGAAATTGAGATTGTTATGTGAAATAAAAAAAGGATTATCTTAAAAAAAAGATTATCTTCAGATAGTCAAAGAAAGAAATGAATCTGAAATTTAAAACATCATATCCCACATGGGTTCTGTTAGAGGCCTCATCAAGCTCCACTGTGCAAATGCACATGCTGTTTATGTCAGAATAGCAAAGTTCATGGACCGCTGCTCGGAGAGAGTGATCTTGACTCAGGGCATGATGTAGAAGGCCTGTGTTTATGCCAGGAGATCACTAATACAGAGCTTCCTGGGTTACAAAGTCAGTAGAAATGATAGAGGATTTATGAACTATGGAATTAATGCCAGAGAAAAGTATAAGCTTTCAAAAATTTTGCAAAATCTTGGAAACAGTGATAATTGTTAAATTTATGAAGAGCTATTAATACTACATATTAATCCAAATGCAAGTTGATCAATAACAAGATTATACAAAGGAACATCAACTAATTCTTTCCATGCAAACGAAACACTAACTCATACAAAAATGTAAATAGCACTTCAATGGCGTACCAATTTTCTTCCTACCAACTTAGGAAATATTTTTTTAAAATTATCTTTCCAGGTGGTGTGGCATATCCCTTAAATCCCAGCACCTGGGAGGCAGGGGCAGGCAGATCTCTCTTAGTTTGATGCCAGCCTGGTCTACAAAGTGAGTTCCAGGACAGCCAGGACTACAGAGAGAAACTGTGTCTTGAAAAACAAATAAACAAATACATATCAATATCTATCTATCTATCTATCTATCTATCTATCTATCTATCTATCATCTATCTATCATCTATCTATCTCTATACATTTAACACTTATTGATTGCTTTCAGCCCCAAAGACTGGGGGAACTCAATGAAATCACATCATATACCTACTTGTGCAAGGACGGGGGGCAGATAGGTGAAGAGGGGAAGAGTCTAAAACTGGTCTTGAGGATACAGAACTTCCACCTCCATCTGGTCCAAAATCAATCTTAAATATGTACCAATAGAACAAAATCTATATCAATGTATTTTTCTCTATGTCATAGCCTCCTTTTTTAATAGAAATTGAATGTGACCATTAGTAACTTATAATTAATCCCCTTTAAATGAAAATAAACATTTACCAACAATCATTTTGAGAATTTGGGTGCAGTTTTCTTCAATCTTTTTCCTGCTGTTTGTTGGCTGAAGTGATGTAAGGGTTCATGCAGACCTTTCAGAGGGGCTAGTTCCATCGAACCGTATTAGCCAAGAAGAAATCCACAGGTTCTCATCTTCTCTGGAAACAAAAGCAGAAACTTTTTTCCAAACTAACATATCCTTAGATTCAAATTTTGAAGTCAAAATACCTTAAAAACATATATGTTAGTTTAGCTTAGCAGTCCCCAGAATCAAATGTCTCTCTGCAGTTAGCTCATTAACAGTCAAAAAATTAAAAGAAAACACAATAATATACATAATCCAGATGTTCTGTGTATATTCCATTGTTATGTGGCTTATTTTTAACTCTATTACTTTATAATACTTATTTTACTATCTTTCCTTCTTTAATCTATGATTGTCTGTACTCTTGTCTATTCTCTCTCCCAAGCCTATGTACATTTTTTAAACATACTGTGACCCATTAAGAAGTTTATTTTTGCCTCAATCTGTCTTTATTGCATATCTGTAATCATTTTCTGATCAGAAGAGCCTTTTTTCCGTGCTAAGTGGGCATGGGTAGGAACAACTCCATGGCCCTGCCTGTGGACTCTACCCCATCCAACATGGTGAAAGTATGTTTACTGTCTCTGGGAACCATACTTACTGCCCAGTTCCAGGGACGCGGAGGGTCTATGTAGCCATTAAGCAAACTTGTATGACTCTGCTCACAAATGCTAAGGGCGCTGTAGCAGAACCTCCCAAAAGAACCAGAGCCTTTCATGCTGTCAGTACAAACCAGGAAACTGTTTCTTAAAGAAGCCACTCCGTTTTTGCTGATAACACTGAGTCAGGAAGCCTTCCTTTGAAGAAGATGCACTTGCCTCTTGCACACAGAGCTCACCCGAGAAAATGCTGCTACCAAGAAATCATGCTTAACTCTGTTCTTTTGTGTCTAGAATTCCTTTCCAAGATCTGTCAGGTTTCATGTGGACATAGGTGGCCCACATGGGTTATCATTTTGTAAGCAGAGACTGCTCATTCGTTCCCCACTGCTCAAACCTGATTAATCACACGGAAATTATTTATTTTAACACTGCTTGAACAATGACTCAGACATATTTCTAGCTATCTCTTATATCTTGAATTAACCTATTTCTATTAATTTATGTAACACCACGACTTCAGCAGCTACATGGCATCTCTTTAATTCCACCTACTCTCCTCTCTATATCTCTGCTCAGATTTCCTACCTGGCTTTGCTCTGCTAAGTCATGGACTGAAACAGATTTATTCATCAACCAATAAAATCAGAACATATATACAGAAGGCTATCCCTCATCAATCAGAGGTGGCCAGTTCTGCATTAAACACAAGCTGGAGGAAAAGACATTGAGCAGGGCTAACACCAAGGCTTCTGGAGGACATTCTGTTGAGCACAGCATCTCCTAGACATGTAGAATCTGGGAGGTCCCTGACAGAATCCATGTGAGATGTGATGTTTTAAATTCAGTATCATTTTAAACATTTCTGAGAACCACATGCATGAACAACACAGCACTACTCTATTTCTATCTTCCTTTCCCCTTCCAGTGCCTCCCAGATCCCTACAGCAACTTTACTACCACTACTTTAATTATAAATATTGCATACATATAAACATGTACAAAAATATTAAAGTAATACATATACTCACATGTATGTATAACAGAGCACACTTATCACTGTTTATATGCCCATGTGTCCAGGGCTAATTACTTAGGACTTAGGCCAACAACTGATAATAGGACCTTATAAAATAAAAACCTTCCTTTAGGAACTTTAGGGTATGGTGAAGACCTTTTGCAAACTATTCACCTGATAAGGGTTACTAGCCAGCATATGAAAATAGTTTAAAAAAAAGATAAAAATAAAACAGTTAAGAAAGCAACCCACTTAGAAAATGAGCTATGGATTTGAACAGAGCGTTTGGGGGAAAAAGAAATAAAAATGCCTAAAATGAGATGAGGATTCTTCAAGTCGGTATGTCTGCACTGTACAATCCCAAGTCTGACCAAATTCCAGCATGGACATGGGGGTTGGGTACAAAAATCCTGCCCCTAGCAGTTGTTGGATTGCCAGTTGTTAGCTACTTAAGAGGACGAGGGATCTTTCTGAGTGTATCTCCTGGTAAATTGGCCATGTGAAAAACCTCACATCTAAAAACATATGGGCAGCACAAAGTGTTCCAGAGTGATTTAAGAAAAAAAAAAAGAATGTGAACTTGGGTAGGTAGGGAAGGTGGTAAACCTGGGAAGAGTTTGGGGAGATAAATATTTTCCCAACGGGTTAACAGGTTGTTAGAAACTGTCAAAGAACTAATAAAAATAACTAAGAACTCTAAACATGATCAACATTGTCAACAGTTAGGGAAATGTGAATTAAAAGTACTTGGAGGTTTCATCTAACCCCACTCAGAACAGCTAAGGTCAAGAAAACAATTTCAACAAATATGAGTGGGGGTGTAAAGAAGGGGAGCCCTTACGCACTGTTGGTGGGATGCAAATTTGTGCAGGAACCATGGAAACCAGTGCGGAGACTTCTCAGAGACCATGAGGAAATCTCCATATGGCACAGCTGCACCGCTCCTTGGCAAACGCCCAATGACCCAGCATCCTGCTCCACAGATACTTGTCAGTCATGTGCATTGCTGCTGTGCTCACAATAGTGGAGAATGGAAACAGCTAAATGTCCTTCAATAGAAGAAGGGATCGTGGGAATGTGGGACATGGTTCTGAGGGTGAGTCCCGTGTAAAGGACAGCAGAGTTGATACACAGGAGAAGGAGCTAGAGCAGAGTCACTGTGATGTAGATTTGAACCTAACCTCTGTTCACCCTTGATGTGACTACTAATATGTAGCCAAGACTTCCTTTATATGGGATTTATTGACGATTCTGCTACCTGGCTCAGAAGAGTCCTGACTTAACCACATAGAAAGCATCAAAGAAACATAAAACAAATTCTTTTTCTCCAAGGAAATTTATTGGAGAAGGAAAAACAATTTAGGCTAAGTACAAGGGCAATGACAGATCATGGGGTCTCAGAACATATGGTGATCATGTCTCTGGTCTCAGCGACAACAGAATAGGTTCCTTCTGTTGCAGCTTCCATAGACATGTTCAGAAAGTTCGCAGTGATTTCTACAAGAGCATGTCAAGACGCCTCTTCTGGCTGAAGAAATAAAAAACATCAGGCATTAAGTAAGGTAGCCAGAAGAGTGCAATAGTGCACAACACTGTGAAGATGCAAAATACATGGTACAGAGTAGGTGTGTTTGCATTGGTAACATCACACCCAGCATCGGGACCAACTCCAAACACTGGGAAAAAAATACATTTAACAAGTAAGTGTTGGTCACATGAACAACTTGACACCCATTTCGCAGTCCTTTCAACTTTTAGTGTCTTCTTGACCCAACACATTCATACACTGGCATTTGGTTCCTAAATCTATTATTTTAAATAAAAGAGTTTTTTTTTCCTTTCTATAACAAAATTATCTGTTGAATAGACAAAGGACTAATCAATATGGTCTATATTTTAAAACTATTCCACAGATAAATTTTTAGATTAAAAAAACTTAAAAGAAAGAAAATTGATTATAATCTTTTGACTCTCACTGTTACTTCAAAGAATAAGACAGTGAAGATCATAGAAGATCAACAGTGTTGATCAAGAGTGCCTGAATCACAGAGCTCTCAGTGGGATTCCAGTCCCATCTTCCACCCTCTCTCTGGAGACTTTAACCCACCATCACACTGGGCACCAGCACCCACCTCCATCTTGAAGAGCAGAGCCTTCTGGGCCCCCAAAGGAGATGGTCATACCCTGGTACTCGGCCCCTGGCTGTTCATCAGTGTTAGTCTCCTCAGCTGCTTCTGGGAGAGGATCAGCCTGGGCCTGGAAGGCCAGCAGGGCAAGGAGAGAGAGGAGAACGAGTGTCTTCATGGCTGAGAGTCACCTGAAGGAAGGGTGAGCAAGAGCCAGAGTGTGGTGACTGAGGAGTCAGCCTGCATTTATAGGGCTGTCATAGAAGGTGCAGAGACAGGCCCTGTAGATAGGGCACACTCTGATGGGAACTGGGAGAGACTGTTGTCCTTTGATGTTCCTGTGTTCTCACAGATATCATCATGGTGTTGGTCTGTGTGCTCAGTGACAGCGCTCCCTTCCAGCTGATAATGATGAAAGGCCCTTGCAGTCTTCTCCTGTTTCCCATCTGCTTGAGTATTTACCTTTCTGTGATCAATAAAGAAAAGAGGAGGGCATTTTCCAACTTTGCAAGGTCATGGAATAAGGAGTTTTGGTATTCTGAAGTTGGAGCCTGCTGTTCTTAGAAAGTGTGGACCCTGGACCAGACCCAAATACCTGTAGATTTGACAGTCAGTTCTTTGAGTGATTCTCAGATATTACTACCCTTGCAAATTCGTTTCTTTGGAGCCATTATGGACAAAGTAAGATGGCCCTGGTGAATCAAGCTCAAGAGGAAATGATGGACAAATTTGTGGTCAGAGTGAAGCTAGAGCAGGTTATTCTGAAGAAGCCAGTGTGACCTGAGCACATCTCATAGTATATTCCAGAAGCCTCCTCACAATCAAATCAATGATGTGATGTAGCTCATGTCTGAGATCTTGGACTTTTTACTTTTAGGAGATTAGAATTAAAGTAAATAAATAAAACCACACAATAAAGTGTGTTACCAGCTGTTTCTCATCCTCACGCCATGCTAGGAAATGCTCCATGAAACCACCAGTATTCAACAGGACAATTGTATGTACTGAACTGTTACCTTTATCCTACTACGTGACAGGACGGCACTACTCCTCTATGGCAGCGCCTGCACTACAGGACCATTCGTGAGCCAGGCAACGGCCTGGGGATTTAAACACACGAAGACACACATACAGAGTGACACGGGTCATCCTTGAAACAGGAATGCCTCCTTTATTGTATGCAGGGGCAGCTTATAGAGGGATCCTTAACTGATAGCCACGCCCCAGCCAAACCCACCAGAAACCACTCCCCTGCCATCAGGAACGCCTGATGGTCTCGAACTCAGAGCAGCTGCAAGAATAACACGTTGTTTACAAGAAATTCAGGATCTGGGGGGTTCATAGCTCCCAACAGCATATCAAAGTTTTCTCTTGCCTAAATTATTCGTGGTATATGCTATATCTGAATTAATTTTTACGAATTGAGATCCTTTTCCAATACATAGAATTTTGTTATCTCTGTGCTTTTTTTCCAAAAACGAGGAAAACATCAATGTACATCTTTATATGGACACATGTATAACAAAACCACGTATAACTATATTATACAGCCTAAAAGTAACAATAGTCTTGACAACAGATCTAGAAGAAGATACTACACTACACCAGTGATACATATAAAATCATATATGCTCCGCTATTCCCATCAATAGTACACTTATGATAGTTGATAATGCTGTTGACCATCATGAAGCCAATATGACGAACATTCTGGATACCTCAAGTGGTCTTTTAAAGACAGTGTGTCTTTCACTGGTAACTACTTTGATCATTGTCTTATATTCTTTCTGCATCTTCAGGCCTAACCAAGACTGTTCTGCCATTATGGGAGTAGTCTACGGTTTACTGGACTGATTCTGAATCTTTCGGGTACATATAAGGAGTGATTCATGCTTCTTATTCTGTGTACCAAGAATGGAGAAACACTAAAGTACTGCTCACTTTGAGACCTAGAAATTACACGGTACTTAGCCATGATACTGTGGGGCTTAGTCAAGGGTCTCTGGAATGTAAGTGTTTGACTCTTAAAGGAAACTGTTTGAAACAAAACCCTGGCTCCAGTGAGTGACAGTTTCCAAGAAGAGCACAGATTCCAGATACAATGTTCAAAAAGAAGCTCAAGTGATACTGCTGGCCTAGGTAGATGCCTCCTCTCTCTTATGTCTGCCTTAATATTTTTTTACAAAAATCATCAATGTGTATTCTTTTAATATGTATTGTAGAGTTTAAACAGATTTAATTTTTAAAAAAACAAATAAAACAAAAATAACACCACACATTAATTTTTAATTATTACAAAGTCAGATTTGTGTGACTTCAAAGGAAACATGATAATCTGAAATTAAAGATGTCAGGTAGCATTCTCAAAATACATAACATATGCAGTATATTTGTATTAGTTTATATTTATTGATTTCTAAGTGCTTTTTTATCTATTCCAATAAGAGGTTTACACAACAACCCAATAAAGTTGCTGCTCCTATTGGCCAATACTCTGTGGCTTTGTAAAGGAACTTCGAAGGGGTTAATTGCTTTACTCAGGTTAATTGCCTAAAGATTAGGCAACAGGGCTGTGACCTGATCCCTTGCACTTAACCACTACCCTATGTTCCATCTTAACGTCTGCATTTTAGAGTGCTAACTTCTGTTACTTATTGAGATTGTTTGAAAGCTGCTACAGCCCCTCCAGATATCAGTGTGGCAATTTCTCAGAAAATTGGGAAACAACTTTCCTCAATACCCAGCAATACTACTTTTGGGTATATACCCAAAGATGTCAACCGTGCCACAAGGACATGTGCTCAACTATGTTCATAGCAGCATTGTTTGTCATAGCCAGAACCTGGAAACAACCTAAATGCCCTTCAACTGAAGAATGGATAAGGAAAATATGGTACATTTACACAATGGAGTACTACACAGCAGAAAAAAATAACGACGTCTTGAATTTTGCAGGAAAATGGATGGAGCTAGAAAACATTATTTTGAGTGAGGTAACCCAGACCCAGAAAGACAATTATCACATGTACTCACTCATAAGTGGTTTTTAAACATAAAGCAAAGAAAACCAGCCTATAAAAACAATCCCAGAGAACTTAGACAACAATGAGGACACTAAGAGAGACTTACATAGATCTAATCTACATGAGAAGTAGAAAAAAGACAAGATCTCCTGAGTAAATTGGGAGCATGGAGACCTTGAGGGGAGGGTTGTAGGGGAGAGGGGAGAGGCAAGGAGAGGAACAGAGAAAAATGTAGAGCTCAATAAAAATCAATTTAAAAAAAGAGCATTTGGTGTTTTTGCATAGGACCCAAGTTCTGTTCCGGAACAACATGGAGTTCATAGCTCTCTGTAACTTAAGTTCTAGGGTATTTGACTGTCTATTCAGGTTTCCACAGGCAACAGAAACACACACACATGCACACACACACACAAACACATAATGCAGGCAAGTTATTTATAAAATAAAAATAAGCAGATATTTTTCTTTCAAAAAGTAAAATGAATGTGCTAACCCCTCCCTCAATGGAAGTGATTCCAAGGAAAGGGTTACTGCAGGATGCTAAGACTTGGACCCCAGAACACCGCACACTCCTTAAGGGAGCTCTGTATAATATCTTAGGAAAAGAGTAGTGGTGACCCCTTAGATTGTAGACTCCAGTAGCACAAACAATGTGGATCCACAGAAGACATTCCATAAGGAAGGAGGCATGCTGGGAGGATAGAATACCCCATCACCTTTTATTTAAATCTTTTTTTAAAAAAGATTTATTTATTTATTATGTGTACAGTATTCTCAGCATTCTGTCTGCATGTGTGCCTTCAGGCCAGAAGAGGGCACCAGAACTCATTACAGATGGTTGTGAGCCACCATGCGGTTGCTGGGAATTGAACTCAGGACCTTTGGAAGAGCAAGCAGTGCTCTTAACCACTGAGCCATCTATCCAGCTCCGCCCCCCCCATCACTCTTTAAGAAGAAAGGATGCTAGAAGCATCTCACTTGGCAGTTGCCATGACAATCTGTGTTGGGCCATGACAGATACCAACTGCGCCAAATGAACAGGTGGAGAAAGTGTAACTCTAGCCAGTATAACTCTTTTCCTCTCAAATATCGCAGAATATTGATTAGTGGTTGCAAACATAATACGCAGTTACCAAAGTCTCACAAGACACTTCTGTCTTAAACAAGTCACTTTGTCCTGGGCAGAATAAATGGAATGACTTAATAAAATGCATGTCGTCCTTTTGAAATGTAATTATCTGAGGATCAGATGCTCTATTTTCAGGTACAGTTAACATAACTCCGGTTAGGGTCAATCAGCAAACACGTTGCCTACATAGGGATAATAGTTTCTTATCAGGTGTGTGCTTTGCCAACCTTTCCCGCCATGTTCTAATTGGCCACTTCACTCCCATGCTCATTTCCTCTCCTCTGTAGAAGCTGTACAGGCCAGTACAATCTTACGTGTTCACCTTTGCCTCGTTTCCAGCCCATTTGGTGTCCTGTAAGAAATCACTGTCCACATACAGCTCTGAATTTTCATCTAGCAGTTTTTTGCTTTCAGGCCTTATTTCTATGTCTTTATTTTATTGGATATCAAGATCCAATTAAGCATCAAATCATTGGGTAGTATTCTTAATTTTTAATTGTCACTCATACTGTTATAGAGGTTGGAAGAATAAACATTTCTTCTACTTGGACCTATATTTTACCTAGAATCACAGGAGCTCATTTCAGCCAATGTCTGAAACCGTCAGTGTGGTCAGCACGTGTGCTGTAACAGAACCGGCTCTAACAAGTCTTGATAACGAACACCTGCAAGATCCAGGTCTGACTCCAGAGTGGACAACTTCAGAAGACGTCAGAATTCATCTTCAGATATGTAGAGGCATTGTGTCCTTGAAGTTAAAGCATGAGAGTGCTGTTTCTTTTTTTTTTTCCTTTCTATTTTAACATTAAAAAGTAAACACTCATTCAAGGGGAAGTACAAAATCCAAGTAACAGGAAACAACAGCAGAGTCCTCCTCATCCTCACCAGCTTAGACCAAAGGCGGTCACCAGACACACATGTGGAGGCACTTGTCATGGAAGCCATGAGAACAAGAGTGTCAAAAGAACCCTAAGGACACATCTGGTTTTTTATCACTGCAGACCCTGCCCAACACAGGACTTATCATAGACCCTTCTCTTCACATACCGCCCCCCTACACTTGGCTCCTGATTTTCTTCATCCCCCAGGAAATCCATGGTCATGAGGATGCTCATTCTACTCATGGTCTTTTTCCTATTGGCCGTCCAGATCCAGGCAGAACCTCACCAAAGAAGAGCTGAGGAGGCTCTAGACCAGGACAGCTGGGAGAGGATGAGCGGGATACGCCCATATCATTTGGAGGGCATGAAACTGCTGC